ATCTATCTATCTATCTATCTATCTATCTATCTATCTATCTATCTATCCATCCATCCATCCATCCATCCATCCATCCATCCATCCATCTATCTATCTATCTATCTATCTATCTATCATGAATCATGTATCTCTATTTTAATATTTTCCTAGATGCAAACGCTTTTGGACATCAGCCCAACAATTTTTTTGGGGGTGGGGGGAGACCTAGGCACTCTGCACATGCCTCCCAAACTCTCATTTTTATGTTACAGGCTGGCTATGGCCAGGCACAAACACAGGTGGACATGGCTATTTGTTTAGCTATTGTTCAACGTTACAATGGCACTAAAAAAAAAAAAAAAAGGTTCACGACGAAGTCTTTTGTTTCTTGGCATTTACGGCCGGGAGGGGGTCTTTCTCTCTGGGCAGTCCCCCCCCCGATGTAGGCAGGGGGTTGCTGGATCCCTCTGACCTCCAGAAAGTGGGGCAGAAATCCCCTCCCACCCCTTAGATCCCCCCCTCTTTCCCCCCACGTCCCCGACTCACCGGAACTGCAGCCGTCTCGTCTTTGTGCAGGAAGCTCCTTGGGGGGCTTAGAAGACAGTGTTGTGGGTGCTGGGTTGCAAATGGAGCACCGGCGGTCAGTCAGAGGCCTCCTGTGGAGGGGGGGAGAGGACGGGGGTGTCAGCCCTGTCCAGATCCCAGGTCCCGAGCTCGGCTGGGCCCCGCCGGGCCCCTAAGTACCCCAACGGCGCCCTTCCCAGCTGGTCCCTCCCCCCCTCTCAACCCCAAAGAGGCACGACCCCTAATTTAATGTACCCCAAAACTTCTTGGCCCCTGCAAAGCCTCAAACTCCAAAACGAGGACCCCAAGCAGGGAAAGAAAGGAGTGGCACTACTACGCTGCTACCCGGTTCACCCTGGTTCAGACGAACCGGTTGCTACTTTTATGGGCCGTTTTATGGTCAGTTCGATGAACCGGCAAACCCCACATCTGTCTGTCTGTCTGTCTGTCTGTCTGTTTATCTATCTATCTATCTATCTATCTATCTATCTATCTATCTATCTATCTATCTATCTATCTATCTATCTATCTATCTTTTATCTATCAATCATCTATCTATCTATCTATCTTTTATCTATCTATCTATCTATCTATCTATCTATCTATCTATCTATCTATCTATCTATCATCTATCTATCTATCTATCTATCTATCTATCATCTATCTATCTTTTATCTATCATCTATCTATCTATCTATCTATCTTTTATCTATCTATCTATCTATCTATCTATCTATCTATCTATCTATCATCTATCTATCATCTATCTATCTATCTATCTATCTATCTATCTATCTATCTATCTATCTATCTATCTATCTTTTATCTATCATCTATCTATCTATCTATCTATCTATCTTTTATCTATCTATCTATCTATCTATCTATCTATCATCTATCTATCTATCTATCTATCATCTATCTATCTATCTATCTATCTATCTATCTATCTATCTATCTATCTATCCAGGGATGGGCTGCTACCAGTTCGAACCGGTTCTAACGAACCAGTTTTTAATTTTATGGCCAGTTTGGCGAACCGGGAGGCTCAAGGAAAGCCTCTGGAGCCCGCGGAGGGCGAAAATGCCCCCTCCACTGTGGTGCAGGAGGATGAATAGGCCACGCCCACCAAGGCCACACCCACCCCGCAACCAGGCAGAGAACCGGGGGCTAAATTTTCGAAGCCCACACTGCTCCAATCTGAAGTTTGGGAACGACACTTCCTAATATCCCTCCTCCAGCTGGTGGGATCCGTGACCCAAATCAAAAGTGCAAAATTGGGGGGAGCCCTCTGTACGTGCTCAGAGGTCCTCTTGCCATGATGTCAGGGGGGGGGGAAGCAGGGGTTCAGCTCTCACCTGGGGGTGGGGCTTCCTTCTGCAGAGCGGCTGGACTGTCCCACCTCGCCCAATGAGCTGTCCTCCGCCTGGTGCGTCGTGGAATTGAGGACGATGAAGCGGTACTTCTTCCAGTTGCAAATTTTGAGGTCGGGGATCGGGGCGCAGCCACTGGATTCGGCAGGGGAGGCCGGGTGACCCACCGGGAAAAGATCCCCGGCTCCCGGGGATTGGACAGATCCCACTTCCGTCTCTGGAAGGCAGAAGGATGCAGGCTGCGGGGCCCCTTCAGTGGTGGCCCCGTGGGCAAAGGGCCCCGCGATGGAGTCTTGTCGCAGCGATGGTTCGTCTTCCAGCGGCTGGGCCATTTGGGTCTGGGGGTTCAGGGGGGGCAGCAGGAAGGTGAGCCGGTCATAGCTGAAGGGATCACACAGATGGATGGGTTAGGAGGCTCAGTCAGGGATCCCCTCCGACCCCCCCAATCCCCAAATGCTACAGATAAATCTTTGACTTGCAACCACAATTGAGCCCCAAATTTCTCTTGTTAAGTGAGACATTTATTGAAAGTCAATTTCTTTTTGTGTTGTACAGGTCGCCTTCAAGAAGTGAGGGGAGCCGAATGTCAACTCATAAAATATCTCTATGGTCTTTTTGGAGTTGCCAACCAAAAGGGGGGGGGGAGTAGTGCAGTAACTTGGAAATCGAAAGTGCATTCCATACGTAGTTTTTCAAAGGAAGTAACTAGGTGACTGAAGTTTCTGCCATGCAAAATTCTAGGCAGACATGATGATCTAACTCAGTTTGTCTCAATCTTCTTCACCACTTTAAGACGGAAGGGACTTCAACAGTCAGAATTCTTTGCTGGCTGGGGAATTCTGGGAGTTGAAGCCCACCCCTCTTAAAGCACGCTAGCTGGGGAATTCTGGGACTGGAAGCCCACCCCTCTTAAAAAAGACGAGCTGGGGAATTCTGGGAGTTGAAGCCCACCCCTCTTAAAGCAGACTAGCTGGGGAATTCTGGGACTGGAAGCCCACCCCTCTTAAACCACGCTAGCTGGGGAATTCTGGGACTGGAAGCCCACCCCTCTTAAAA